AAGTATATTATTCTACTGTTTCATCGTGTAGATCCGGTATCAGTAGGCCAAGGATTTGCATCACATTTTATCAGTATATTTGCCTACAAAGAGTGGCAAATTTTTTGTTGCCTGATCATGACTTTGTTCAACATAACTCGGAAATACGGTCTTGGATAGGATGAGTTAAGAGATATCGAGCCATGATCGGGATAAAGGGTCATCCTAGGTGACTAGAAACAAGTGGCGGTTTGCCAATGCGGTGTAAAGTGAAATGAAAAGTATGATTCATTCAGACAGGTGCTATTATAAGCAGTGTCATGAGGTTTTGAACTCGGCCATATGAGGTTGCCCAAATTTTGAGCATTTCCCTCTACAGGTCGAGTGCTTGAATGTTTTTCTTTGGGACCATAACATGCGCTGATTTGCCACACGGTACGGTCAGCCATAAAGTGGATCACTGTGAAAAACAGCCTCTACAGGCGGTCTTATAAAAAGGGTCAGTACACTATACCATCTTGACATGAAAATACAAGAACCTTATGCTGTCAGTGAACAAATTTCTACTTGTTGATCGGCTGGTGGAATCGATGCCATATCGAGTGAATTTCCTTCGTAAGGGAACCAAGGGATTCGGAATTCTAACCCAGTACCTTACAAATTAGAGGCCGTGGTACCGCTCCTGAGACTTTTGTTCTTTGGATATGTGATCAAGGTACGACAACGGGGGTACATTCGTAAGATCAGCGCTCTTCATAAGGCAGCATGATAATTCACCAGCGGCGGACTTTGGTCCTTTGAGCATAGAAAGGTACACATACCTACGGATCGAGGTATATCCGTTGATACTCGACCCAACAGAGTGTTGCTGATTAGGTTCCATGCATTGTAGATATTCAGGTGCTATGAAACTATAGCCTGCACGGTCGGTCTCCTAGGCTACCAGGAGCAAGGAAACGCAATGCGAAAATCCATGTAGGTGAAAAGAGATTGTTATATAAGGGTATACTCATCAACTTGGATGTCTTGCTCGATCTGCAACGCATGGAGCTAGCCTATTCGGCGGAAGACAGACGAGGCGCGCCTGCAGTTGCTGCCGTTGTGAAAATGTACAAATACACTCCTTATGCAAAATTTAACTAGTGCATAAAACTTATAGAATGGCGGTCTTTTATTTCAATGGGCCATAAGAGTAACATCATTTTATAGAGTATGGTACTTGAAGAAGACTTGTGGGTTCGTATGGTTGCTGAAACCTTGCAATAATTGTACTTTTAATGTCGTGTGAATAAACCAATTTCACTTATTCGATACATTTTACATGAAAACCGTACTGCAAAAATACTTGCACTTTCGCCTGCATTTGAATTCGAATATTTTTCACTGGAGAGTGATTAATCACATTTCTAAATGACTCCATCCTTCTTTATTTCGAGATGAGACAGTAGTAATACAATATCTTACCAGACATGTTAGCTCCTGTCATGATTCCAGTCACCGACGGAAAAAATATAGCCAATAGTATGAAGAAGTTTGTCGTAATATCCTGTGTGACTTCCCTTTCAGGCTTGCCGAACTGTCCAACGGTTGCTTCTCCCGCTTGCATGTAATTCGGTTTGAAGTTATCTGCATAAATTCTTATCAAAATTTTTCAGATTAAAATCGATACAGGCTACAGAAAGAAAACTACCAGCCAAACGTTCACTCCGGTATCTTTTCAGATAGTGAACGTTCCTGATAGAAGCTAATACGAAAGAACTAAACGGTCAGAAGCATGCAATCATAAAATAACAAAGGTTCGGAATTGAACGCTACAGGAAGCGTAATTCCAGCAATTGAAACAAGTACCAAAGCAATTACTGCAAGCGAGCACGGGATTTCTGAGTTTACCAATGGTAGAATAGCTTCATGGGGTACTCTGGTCATTTTTTCACAAATTGTCACGTGAGTGACCTTGCATAAAATTATCATCTTCGTATAGTGACTATGGCGTGACCACGGAGAAACGATTCAGACATTTGAATTCAGCCATTTGACACACATCAAATAGAGCTACGATGGCATGTAGTATGATATGTAGCTTCTTGAGAAGATCGTAAGGGGTGATCTGAGTTTCCTTCAACCAAGCTTGCATTTTATGTATGGTCTGGAAATTTATGGAACTATGTATGGAACTTCCCAGTGATAAATGGATACTTCAACAACTTGAGGCACAAGAAAACAGACCGTCTTTATCATAATTGCCGACGTTTCAGACAAGCCTCATTGTTCATTCTGAGGGCAAACAATAAGTTGGAGAAAATCGTGCCGAATTGCTTGTGCCTACTCTCACTCAGGGTTTAGCTGGAACATCGGTAGTCCCAATCCAGATTAAATTCATTATGTTTTGCTGCATAATCATTACAATGCCAATTTGCTGAGGAAAGACAAAAGTGAAACGAATTTAACAAGTCACTTTGAGCCTCCCGCTATCGCAGTCCGTAAGGACAGAGCTGCTTAAGATTTACGTATCTCGCTCAAAGCTTTTCTCATTGTTGCCTCTCTATGACGCTGAACAGAAAGTGAAATTGCGAAGTGTGCCTTGGTGTACAAGGGCTAAAAAACGATACAAGAATCATTTATTTTGACCGAGCGCAGTATTTGGATACTGTATGCATTTGATCTGTTTTGTGCTTAAAGAGTTAAGCACGTACAGTATGCACTCACGACCAAATCGTACAGCGTAAAGGTCATAAAGGGTTAGATCTGTGGCGTAGATTATGTAGATGAGCGAAGTGTTATGTGCTCAGCTTCGCATTTCCCTTCCGCTCCATTTCTTAAGTAAACCTTTGAGATTAAGATTAGTTTAAATTTCAAATGCATCTTTGTTGTGCACACGAAAAGGCTGCATCACCGTCATTCATCTTTCGCTATCCAAAGAATAGCAGCACGATGTATTGCGCTGAGCTGCATTTTCCTGTCTTGTTCAAGTGATGATATCAAGCTCTGTTTGAGCTCTGTTCAGTAGTCTTGGTTTTCCTCTCGATTCTGGTTCTTTCACTCCCAGGTCCATCATTTTTCCAAATCGTCGCCATTCGTTTTCGTACGTAGCCAAAGTACCGCAATCCCCGCTGGTGTACTTGTTCAGAAGCGAGTGTTGAGTGCTAACTTGCTTGAAGCACCATTGGTTGGCTGTCCGACTCATTTAGAAGATTCGTGACAGTGAACAAATCGTGATGTTACCCTTGGTTCGTGATGTTACTTGTCAACTTCTCCATAGAACTCTGGTGAGATTCTCTGATAATCGACGCTTAGCATTCCACAGTTTGCAACCAACCACATTCGAGACTGAACATGTCATATTTTCGTGAATTTCTTCCAATTGTCGCATTTTGTTGAGTTTCGTCATGCCGGTTCTTGTTCTTCATAGATTGTGACGAATCACTTCATTGAAATGCTAGAGAAAAGATAAACCATCCCAGATTAAAGCCACACGCCGGAAGATCAGTTCATCCAGTACAAGAGCAGATTTGAACAGCAACTATAAAAGTTCTAGAAAGACAGGTTTCTCTATTATGTAGGATTTCGGTTTCCTTGGCAAGTGTTGAATAGAAACATCAAATGCATATCATAACCTGACAAATGCTTCTCTTAATAACAAATAAACAAAGCAACGTATGGTATGATGTTAAACTTAAAAAAATTGCTGCTTACTAGACAACTCGCCACTCATAAGACCCGGAGTTGCGACCACCAAATGAAAGTCGTGACGCTCAAAGTACGGTTCACAGACGGTGACATTGTCCGCATCCAAGTGACAGAACAATCTGTCCAGTACTTCGGTACGGTTGCACACGAAGGTGCCGTTGGCGTCGGTCAAAATATGCCGGTATAACAGTTCATCGCCCAACATGCATATCCTAAAGCAGCTCGGTTAATGCTGGTTTCTGCTTGCTGCCGACCACTGCTACCGTTCACTGCTATGAGAGTTGTAGACAAACGCGCCAATGAACACGGATATGATTGACAGGATGACACACGCCAAGGTCATAGGCGCAAAGAACTGAACGAACTTAACTCCAAAGCAGCATATGATGAAAATGAGAAGCAAGAAAAACGTTCCATACAGCCGAAAATTGTTGAACATCTGTTCATCGTCAGGCGAATTGGACGTTCCGAAACGAGGCAGGCTGGGTGCTAAGTAAAGCTGCAATTTTCATGGCAGATGAACATGAAGAAAACTGCAACGAAGCGAAATTTTACGTACGAGCAGGATCTCCACACCACCGACCAAATACATCGACGTTGCAACGGTGTTCGCCAAATAAAACAGTATGCCGATGGCACCTCCGAACTCTGGGCCTAGATTCCGTGATATCATGAAGTAAGCACCACCACCTAAATGAACAAGGATAAATTTGATCAAGATTTACTTTTTTGACTCAAGTACATTTATTAAATGCCTGATATGATAAATACGAACGACAAGTGTATTACATGTTAATGAAGGATACGAATATTAAAAATAAATATTATTAAATATCATGCAGTGGGCTTCAACACAAT